AACGCCCTCAAAAGCATCAAGGACGCCGTTGACGCCTGCGACTGTCCTCGCGGGATTCTGGTGGAAGTGCGGTGTAAATCTGGCAGACACCGAAGCGTGTGCGTCGGCTTCTGCTCATACCATCAAATGCTTCGATATGGGCATTCAGCTCTGTTGATCCACTACCAATCTCCCGAGTGGGCTCGCATGAAATGCGGAGCCACATGCAGCGCTTGCCGCAACTATGACAAATGTTTGCAAGAAATCGGAAGCATTTTGCCGCAAGGTCAGAGCATAGCTCAGACCCACGGTGTGCAGAGCATAGCTCAGACACCGTATATAGAGAGATCTAAGTCGAGGAGACGTTCTAGCTCGAAATCAACAAGACGCTCCCGCAGTCCTTTGCCCCGTCGCCCACGGAATTTGCCACCGCCTCCACGGCGACGACGCCGCAGCTCCAGATCTGAATCTTTCTCAAGGAAACGAGATACAAGCAGCCCTGTGAGGACAGCTGTCAGAAACACCTGGCCGCCCGTGAAGGCACCTCCAGTGCGACCTCCCCCAAGGGCAGAGAGTCCAGGCACCGGCGCAAACAAATCTTCAAGCTCGAAAGTAACTTTGCTATCGCCTCCACTTCATCGTCATCAACGCGGACAGCCAGCAGACCACGTGGAGCTCGACGCTTTGCTTCGAGATGATTTGGCGCAGGGAATGCCGTTCCATGGCACGACTGCCAGGCCAGACTTACTGGACAAAGAAACTTTGAGTGCAGTGATCAAGCTGTGCTCCCGGGACGGACCCCGTGCCAGAACTTTCTGGATTACAGACCCTTTGCTTGATCAGAGGGATGGTGTCAGGATGTTTTGCTTGCTCAGAGGCCGTGCGAACATGATCAAGACACCTAACATTTGCAAGTCATGGAAACGCACCACTTGGATGCGGAAGCATCCGGAGAATTGGCGTTTGCTGGAGGAGAGAGCTTCGGCAGAGACAGATCCGCAGTGTTCCCTCCGAAGCATGGATCTGGTATCATTCCTCCAACCTCCGTGACATGCAAAGTTTTTGGACCCAATCCCTCCACGGAAAACGTCAGAGCATAGCTCAGACACACCGCCACGGAAAACGTCAGAGCATAGCTCAGACATAAATCAAAAGCGAGGACCGCTGTCAAAAGAAACGACAAATGGGAAAAAGTCGTGCGCCAAATTGTTAGCAGCGCATTCTTCATTTTGTGCTGTCTAAGCTTACTACAAGTGACACCCGAAGAATCCAATTGCTGGTGACCACCAATGTTCACAATGAAAATTGATTGCATCAAAGGATAACATTCCATTTACATTGCAGTCAGAAATGGTCTACCAAAAACATTTCGGCGTTGCCCGACCGCCGCCGAGGTTCTTTCTTGTGAACTTGGCCTTCAAGAGGCGTCACTGTGAATGA